GATCCACCTGACAAGAGCTTTTTTGAAGCGTTCAAATCCACAATAAAGAATGGCGGTTGCCAACCAGACGGGCAAATGGTACGCAAAATCCCATATCACATTTTTTTTCTTTTATCAAAAACAGTAAAAGTAATAATAGTGATTTACGATGATTTTTCAAGTGTATGATCAATAAAGATTGCTGCTCTAAGTACTGTGTTGATATCATATTCCCGATGTCGGTGAAACTATATTGCACTCCAGTTGAAGTTGATGAAAAACAGTCAAACTTTAGCAGTCGAAACTGAACATTGTCCAATTTTCTTCGTTCTTGAAGAAACTTTTCATGTTATCCCATCATTGCAATTTCGATGTCTTCTTTGGAAATGAACATTTTATGTACATTGATAATTCGAAATAAATACAGATTTTTACTAATTCATTTGATCTAACTTCATTATGTGTATCTATTTTACAGAAGAAATTGATCTGTTTTTGGGTACTACTCCCTATGCCAATTCAAGACATATCTTCAGTATTTTGATTAATTTGTTTTCGACAGTCTCCAGATCAAAATCAGATTTATACATTAAGCGTCAAAATCTCTCCAAGCATTTAAATGTGGGGCGGCAAAGAAGAGGAGTTACGGTAATTATTACATGAAGCGTTCCAAAATTTTTGTAACAGGATAATTGGTGAAGGAAAGGATTTTCTTAATAATGAGAGTTAACAGATTATGCGAGAAAAAATGCGGATAACTCGAACGGGGGCTCGAACCTGGAACCTTCCGATGACATGTCGGCTATTCTACCATTTTTTTTTTATCTTTAAGCGTTTATTTATTCAAATCATTGACATATATATATATATATATATATATATATATATATATATATATATATATATATACACATAATAAACAGGTATAAACGTAAGACCTGTTACTTAAAATGAATTGTCTACCTGGCCCATACGGGCTCTCATAAAGAATAACGTAAATGATATTTCTTAATACCTAATTACAGTCTGTACCTATTTACAGCCTCAGAAGTAATTAATATAGTTTTTCTTATTCTAATTGTGTTAAATACATAAAGCGTTAATATATGGGTTATACTAGTTAGCCTTAAAAGAAACTTGATTTTCATCAAAAAAGGCTTACATTATTGGCTATTCTACCATTTGCGCTACCTGGTCTATACCAAATTTCCTTTTCGCTTATTCTATGTACATTAAGCCACATCGTTCATCGTACGATAAGCATTTTTAAAATTAAATAATGCTCTGAAGTGGGAAAACAGTAAATTTTTTTAAGACTAACAAGCTCAAATTCAATTTATTCAAAATTAAAATTGTCCAAAAATTTTATCCAAATTTTAAGTCGGCGCTACATTTAAATTTAAAACACTAGAAAATTTGATCTCAAAACTTAATTTATATATAGACACACTTCTCCATGAACAAATGTCATATATTGTCGTCGCTACTTAGATACAATTACTTCCGTCCGCCCGTATGACAAGAAGATCGTTTGATTCAATTCGCTCGGGGATTCGAAACCATCCGGTGCGTCGTGATAACAAATAAAACTTAATAATATTAACATCATTATTTATCGGCAAAGTATCGCGGAGTTTTTCGGCTGACATTTATATAATGACGTTAAAAAATTTATCTCAACGGTAGTCACTGTTTACAAACTGAGTAAGAAAAACATTTTTTTGTTTACTCTTGAAAAAAATCTTATCGTGTGTGTATTTATATACATGAGTGAATTGTTCCATATAAGAAACGGAGATAATTCTTAAAATACGTAAACAATAGAGTAAATAAACGTTAAACGTAATTGCAGAATGCTCTGCGATGAGATAGTTTCAGTGTCACAGGTCACAGGGGACTAAACTATAAAGTGATGGTTAAATACTCAGATAAGAAGGTACTAAAGGTCAAGCATTTTATTCTAGTCTCTCAGTTTCCGAGCTCGGATAGGCCAGTTATAGTTGTGTCAAACGTTTGTAATAGTGTCTTACGTTCTATGACGTTTATTTATTCACTCATTTCATACGTCGTTTGTGATTGAAGCAGAGTGGTAGTAATTGATTTTGTTTGAGTGAATAATATGTGATTGTATTTTTTAGGTAAGTAATCTATGTTCCAAAAATACAATTTATTCAAAAATTAGTTAGTGTAACATATACCTATAAATTACAACTGTTTTCATAAGGATATCGCTGTGAATTTCCAACCGATCTTGATGAAATTCGGCTTACCTATTCTTCGGACAATCATCTTGGACGAGTTCGAAGATGAGGTAAATCAGTAAATAATTGTGGAAACGGTGGGAATTCACAATTATTAAAATTAAAATAACCCAATTACCGTGACTATTCTAAAATAACTCTCGAATTAGAAGAGATAGCTCATTTTTAAAAAAGGCACTATTTACCTGATTAAGTAATCTTTATTACAGTCAGGTTAACTTTAACTTAATAATTGTTTTTATCGATTTTATTGAGGCTGTAAGTTATTGCAATAATTTGGATATTGTGTGAGGAAAGTCACAGGGTGTCGCTTACTATTCTCATGCTAACTTTGTGTAATTAAAAATACTTTTTTTTGGACAACTACCTTGATCTAGCTCTGAGATTAACGCTCTAAATAAATCAGTTCAGAAATGGTCAGCGTCTTTTATTTTAAAAAACAAAGAACAATATCAACCGCAGTGTCATCTGGATAATGCCTTCAGAGTTTTCAACAGAAACTCAAGGTGGAACTTGATGAGCTTTTTTTTCGAGCGATTGCCTTGGACAAATTCAAAGACAAGCTGATTCGCTTTATTTTTTTGAAAACAGACAGTGTTAGAAAGTTCAAAAATCTCTATACAAACGAATTTTTAATTTATTTAATGGAAATAAATTTATTTACTCGTTAAATAAATATACTATGATAGATTAACACAAAAACTAACAGGAATAATATTTATCCTATTAAATAATTCGTCTTTTAAAAAAACAACTGTTATTATTTTTGTTTAAAAACCCTGATAGCTACAGTTTCAGACCAACTAAGAAAGAGTTTCGAAAGCAATTTCTGCCGACAACTTGGTGAACAACCGAGTTCATTTCCAAGACTTGCCGCCAACTTGGTGACAAGTTGCTGCAGCAAATCAACGGAAAGTCGCGTCCGGTTTGGCTATCAGGGTAAATAACAAAAAACAATCTAGTATTCTTCTTTGACAACCACCGATCAATCATCTTTCTTCTTTATCAGCAAATTAGAACTTAAACTTACTACCAGTCAATAAATTAGATTTCTTCATTAGCTTCCAACATTCTCCATACCATTACCACCAAAATGACGTCAATTTACTCTCAATGAGCTCTCAAATAGCTTATAGATACCCTGATAGCCAAACCGGTCGCAACTTTCCGTCGATTTGCTGCCGCCAACTTGTCACCAAGTTGGCGGCAAGTCTTGGAAATGAACTCGGTTGTTCACCAAGTTGCCGCCAAGTTGTCGGCAGAAATTGCTTTCGAAACTCTTTCGCACCAAGTTGACGACAAGTTTCTCGAGAAATTTGGCGACATATTGCGGCAGTAGATTGGTCTTATTTTTTTCAGAAACTTGTAGCCAACTTGACGCCAACAGTTTCAAATTCGGAAGTTGACCGCAAGTTGTCGGTAAGTTGGTGGCAACTATCTGATACCAACTTGGTTGGTCTGAAACTGTGGTTATCAGGGTAACTTGTTTTCAAATATCGACACTATCTTATTGTCAACTTGCATATCGACGTTCTAATTAGCAAATTGTCTAACTCCATTTTAGAGAGTCTTCCAGTTGTACGAATTTATAATTAGTCCGAAATTTATTATCACTTCAGTAATATTCAAAAAACCATTTATCATTTAATAGAGGTATAATATTTTGGTTAGGATCATCCAAATAATTTATTATTGGACTTTTACTACATCAAAATGTTAAAAAATCACTCTCTAAAAAATAAGAAGTTAGACCAATTGCTAATTAGACCGTCGATATAATGTTGGGCATTTGTAGACTTGACGTTAACTTATCTACAAGAACTTATAGTATGAGGTGGCTATCAGAGTGACTAAATACTTGCACTGCAAGTCTTGACGTCAAATTGCAGAGTAACTTATGGACAACTTAACTAAAACCGCTTGCTTTTCCAACTCTTTTCGTCAAGTTGGCTTCAAATTGCGGCAGTAGATTGACGGCAAGTTTCAGTTAAGGTGGCTATCGAGGTACTGGCTTAGTAATTGATAGAATAAAAGTTATTAATCTGGATCCAGTTTAGAAGCAAACGTTGCATCAAACTTTTTCAGTTAATTTGACATCAAACTGTATCAACAAATAAATCAATTTCTTTCCCCGGTAATTCAGAAGTCTTCAAAAGTGACATAAAAAAAAATACAGTTGAACGTATTACTTTTCGATAACTTTCCAATTTTCTAGATTCATTTTCTCTGAAATCATTCTACTAGACCTCTAATTCCACAATATATTTCACCAAGCATTCGTACATAAATTACCAACTTTTTATAGACCAAGAATACTAATTTCCACCGGAACTTTTTCCAACGTAACTTCTTCCTCATGATTCCTCCATTTAAGTGTAACAAACCCTGGTCAGTTACAAGCGAAACAGGTCTGCCCCACTACTTAAAGTTTTTCCGAGTCTACTTTATTCATCAGGTTTCTTCGAGCGACATTCCATTCATTCCGATTAGGTCTTTCGATAATAGACAAAAAATCTATCGATATTGTTCTTGCGGTCCAGTACTGTATAAAATCTATTTTCGTAAAAACATTTAGTATTAACATCAACATTTTCATAAATTATGTTGCAATTTGTGCCTAGATATCGGTGGGGAATGATTGAGAAAATACCATAACCGAGACAGGACGAAAAGTGCATACGTCTTCTAATTCAGTGGAAAGAAACAATCCAGAAAATCAGGAATCAAAAAATTAAGCCGCATTTTTAAGAAAACTCCAAAATGGCCGTCCCAAAACGACGGACCAGCCTCTTCTTGGTTTGCCTTGTATTTTTCGGTAAGTTTTTATCAGTTCATTATAAATGTTATAAATGAATCGTGAATTCCCGCCAATGCGAGGTCTCGCTTTTGCCGGCTCAAGGTCAATTGTTATTTTTTTTTTGCAGGCTCCAATTGTCAGACAGCTCCAGGTAATTAATAATTAGCATTTATTTAATAAAAATAATAAGTTGGAATAAATTTTAATGGGTCAACGTTCGAATCAATTTCAATTCGTTTTATGGATCAATATGTAATGTATGATCGTCCATTTAAAGCGGTGTTAGTAAGGGTAATAAAAAAAGGACCGGATGCTATCAAGCTATCAAGCTCACGTACACCCGCACACTGTTAACTGGTTACATGACTAAACATAACTGTATAGTCTTTAAATTCAACGGTCATAGTATTGTGTGGTGTGCTGTGGGATGATCTTCAGTCGTGTGGCGACCTTCGATGGTCATCGTTTAAAATTATTAATTGCGCACGGTAGTATATTTGAAGTATACATTTAAGTAGTAGGAAAATTAAAAGCAAATGGTGTTTAGATAATTTTGAAATTGAAACTTTATATCGTAGATAGTTTTGTTGAAGTTTAGTATTGGCGGGAAAATTTAACTATGAATTTAAAGTGTTGTTTATATTTTATGGTTACAATAGCGGTTGTAGGAGGAGGACAAGGATGGAAGCTCGGTAATGGCCTCAAATATCAGCTGACTACTACCATTCTTTCACGTGAGTCAGGAATTGGTACTAAGGATGTCGGGTTTATGTTTTCTGGGAATTTGATAGTAAATGCGATATGGCAAGACCCAAATGATCAAGATAATTGTTTACTGGCTATTGAGGTTTGTATTTTATGTTTTGGAACTTTTTCTTTAGTCTTCAAGACTCTGATTTCTTAAAAATAGTTTTCTTTTTTAATTTTCTGAAAATTTAGATTTTTTACGATAAAATACTTTTAATAATGTAAAATTTTACAAAAATTTTTTCATTTTTAGTAAAGTTTTCTAGTCTAAAAATTGACAAATTTAATATTAATTTTCCGTATCTTGAAAAAATTTATTTTGATGTAGAAAATTACACAGAATAAAAATAATTAAAATTTTAAAAATCATATAAAATTATTTTAAAAATGTATACCTTGGTTAAAAATCGAAAATTTTTCGAAATTATAGATATACACTTAAAAATATCGAGTGTAAATCTCGGAGTATTAGAGTGAAGAAATGAAACACTGCGTATAAACTAATTCTAGATTTTTTTTAAGTTTTATATGCCAAATTACTAACAAATGATTCAAACAATTTATCTCAAGTTTAAGTTTGTAAATATTAATTATATTTTTCTTAAAAATTTGACTTTGAATCATTGAACCAAATTATCCTTAAAAATTATTTTATTTTTAAGTTTTGTTGATAAATCGTAAAAAGCAAAAAAAAATAAGAAATTATCAACGTAATTATCTACGTTTAATTAAGTGAAATTGATTACTTCAATGATACTGAAATTAACTGACGGCAATTTTTATTAATTCTTAACAAATAATCTCTATTATGAAGAGAATAAGAAAAATTTTGTTTGGAGGATAGTCATATGGTAAAATCGGTTTTTTTAAATGAAATTTAGTGTCATTGCAAAAGTCTTGACTTGAATTTGCGCCTTTTCAAGGTTTCATATCATTCTCACCGATAGTCAATTTACCATGATAAGTATTTAGTTTGCATTTGAAAATGCTCTATCTCTATAGATACATACTTAAGAAATGACCTTGTATCTTGTGAACTATTGACATTTTTAAAGATATAAGCTCATTCCGATGTTACACTCATCAAGACCTTTTATTTGAGTACCCACATCAATTTTTCATATATTTTATATATCTATATATATGAATATATGAAAAATTTATCAAAATGCATGTGGGTACTCAAATGAAAGCTCTTGATGAGTGTAACATTGGGATGAGCTTAGATCTTTAAAAATGTCAATATTTAAGAAAGGACATTGCAATTTAACAAAAGTCATTATTTAATAAATCAAAATTTTTTTATAGTTTAAAAGTCACGGCAGTCACATAGTGACTGCAAGATTGCTAGTTATTATAGAGAGAATTTATCAAAAAATACTACTTGTAAAAATTTTAAAAAAATATTGATACAATTTTTTTTGAAAATCATCAATTTAAAAAATCATTTAAAACATAAAAAAAATTTTATTTAATAAAAGAACCTATGCATATCTACTAAATAATATCCAAACTTTCAAGATTACTTCATATTTTTTAAACTAAGGTCATCAGTACAGCTGATATCACCCAGTAAACATACCGTCAATGACGTAACCTCCCTATCTAATACAAATGTTCACTTATTTTTTCAGTTATCGGAGCCCCAATTGTGGATAAAGTCTCGCAAAGCGCCAGAACCAGAAGGATTTGTCGAGCACAAATCAAAACTTGATGACGTGTCCCTAAAACCAATCTACGCTCTTTGGAAGCACGGAGTCATCAAAAAATTGTACGCCGGACAGGATGAAACTCGTTCTTCGTTGAACCTGAAGCGAGGATTGGCGAGTCTGCTCCAGTACCGGGTCCTGGACGGAGATTACTTGGAGCAAGACGCTTCAGGAAAGTGCAATGTAACTTACGAGTCAACGGGCCCGAACTCGGTCAGAAAAACCAAGAAATTTTGCGAGCAGGATCTGAACGTCAAGAAAGAACACCCCAGCCCTATCATGGGGGTGGACGTTCTGAGCTCAAGAGTCGCGGATTACAAGTTCAATTCCGCGGTCCTGCCGATCGCCGTTGAAGAGTTCGAGCAACATGAGGTCACGCTGAGAGTCAAGCCTGAAATTGGAGCCACTGTGACTTCGCAGAGAATTCTCAAAGAAGTTCCGGGGAACAACGTGGTCAAGAAGGTTAATGCTGCTAGTGTTAAGGAAGCGATGGCTCATTTGCAACCAGGGTTCAGGGAGGTTCCAATTGGGTTGGAATTGGAGGCTGTTTCGTGTCCTGAATCTGGATGCGTCACTGTGAGTATTTTAGCGAAGATTTCTACAGGTTATGGACCCAGACTGATTTAAAAAAGTAACTTTATTTTGTTTTTCAAAATCGTTTTTGAAATACTTTCAGTGAAATAAAAAAAAATCCATAAGAACATATAGGACAGGTGAATATTTAAGAAAATCCACGCGAAGTATTCAAATTTTTAAAACTTCCTAAAAATTTCTAAATTTCAATCTACGTAGCTTAATAATTAATAAAACAATTTTAAAACAGTAGGTATCCGGGATATTCAATTAAATAATTAGGTTTGAAAATAATTAGATTTTAAAATTGAATATGTCATTATTTGCCTCCTATCCCTCAAAAATTAAACTTATGGATCGATAATAATAAAAAATATTCGCTTTAAAGTTTGTGACGCGAACGTACGAAAACGAGCGTAAATTTCCGTGTATATAAAGCCCGATATGGTCTGAAATGGCCATATATAAATTTTTGATCGAAGTTAGTGTCTAAAACACCCGACAGGTGGCGCATTGTTGCTTATTTTTCTCGCTATTAGAGAGTTCACTAGAACATTTTATAATGTAAAGCTATCACTCCGCGAAAAATTGACTTTCCAGTTGATCATGACTTATGATAAATCGACTATTATTTATTACAGTTTACTTTGTTCCATGTAGAGATGGTAATTGAAAGCGGATCTCTTAGTATCAATATTTCAAGGTCTGAAAGTATTCCAAAGATTTTGAAAACCAAAAAGTACTCTCTTGAACCAGTTTAGGACCCAATTACTAAAACTGTCTCTTAAAAATCAATCAAACTTCTAATATTTAATTCCTTCTTTCTTCCAGCTGGAGAAACTGATTGAAGAGAACCGCGAGGCCTTAGAAACTTCATCCCTTGGAACCGCAAAATCCGCAGCAGCCTTCCTAAAACTGATCCCTTTGGTCCGCGAATCCACCGCCGAAGACTTAGTAAAGATCCTGAAGAGTCCCAAGTACTTCACCCTAAAACCTCAGCTTCTAGATCTCCTGGGTTCAGCATCCACCCCGGCAACTCACCAAGCAGCAATGAAGGTCCTGCGGTCCGACGACTCTGGCGAGGAAACCGAGCGATATCTTTGGGCGCTCTCAGTGTCTCCTCACCCTTACCCAGACATCATCAAGGCCGTGCTCAAGAAATCCGAGGAGACTCTCCAAAACGACAAAGTCTCTGAAACTTACGCTCTCACCGCCGGAGCAATGGCCCGCCAGCTCAATGACCCTATCATCACCGAATCAGTTCGCATAAGCTTAGAAGTAGGTTTGGACACTTGCAACAGCGACGAGTGTCGTCAAAAGTTCCTCCGAGCGCTCAGAAATCTCCAGAGCAAGGGTTCTATTCCAGTTCTTCTAGACCTGGCTGTCAACGGAACCAAGTCCACTAGCATTGCAGCCTGGCTGGCCATCAAATCCCTTGGAACCATCACCAGTGAGGTAAAAATTGCCGCTACAAGAGCCTTTTACCAAATCGGCCCCAAAAGAGATAGTAGCGTTCGCACAATCGCTGCTGATGTCCTTCTGGAGAACGATCCAGCTATTGAAGAACTTCGTGGGTTCCTGGAGTACTTAAGTCTCCAGGATCCGATGTTCGAAGTCCGGAGGTACCTCAGCCTGCGGCTGGACCAGTTGGCAGAGAAGAGTCCAGAGTTCAACGACAAGCTCCAAGCAGCTCTGGCCTTGGAAGCCTGGAGGCTCAAGAACTACAACGTCCTGGCACACAAAGGACTGAGTACTGCGTTCACAAGGCCATTTTTGAAGTCTTCCGCCAGCAATGGGTCGCTAGTAACCGTCCAGGAGGTCAATTCTGGACTCCTGAAGCGTGGAATCGTTGATGTTGTCATGCAAACTGCAACCGATGAACAAGCTTTGTTTTCCCTGGGGTTGTTCGCCGGCGGGCTTGGTTCCTTTATTTCTTCCAATGATGAGTCGGAGGAGTACGAACTGGCGACTGCTGGAATGGAACTGGACTTCCTTGGAGTGGGAATCAGGCCCTTTGTGTTCTTCACAGGACAAAGCGAATTAATGGGCCACGTATGGTCCGGAACTGCCTCAGACAGGACTCCAGCATTCCAAGCCATTGCTAACTTGCACAGGCACCGCGAGATGGCAGCTCTAGCTTCGGGGTTCGTAGCGGAGATTGAGATAGAGGGAGCAGTGAGCTTTGACCTAGCGGGACAGATTCAACTCAGTTTGTGGTCCAGAACCGCACAATCGTTGGTAGAAATGGTCGCTGGAATCGCTGTTAGAGGCGGTTCCAAGGTCAGGAGTGAGTTCGTACAGAGTTCCGCGGAATTCGCGGTTACTGTGGAACCCAAATTGGAACTTTCTACGGATGTTGACTTTTCCGGACCGGTTAGTTTGTGTATGAGACTGATGCAGCCTGAAACTGCGGTCAAGCACCAGGTTTATAAGATTGAGAGGATACCTGGGAGCAGGCATAAGTTGAGGAAGACCAAGAGGAGTGTTGTGCCATCACCAGCGAGGTCTTATTTACTTAATAGGAAGAACAATGAAATGTGCTCAAAGGTGTTTAGTTAGTGAATGTTTTTATTGTGAGAATGGATAGATTGAACAATTAATTGTGTGTAATTGTGGACGAATGTTGATAATGCGTTTTGTTTATTGTTGTCATTTTTTTACTGTACAATATGTAATGCAATAGATTTAATAATTGATAATTCAGTTTTTTATTTATTCATCGCAGGATGTTTGTTACTTCCTTAATAATTTTATTGTTTATTGATTGAAATAATAACAAAGCCACTTTGATATTACACAATCGGAAGCAGTATATATTGTTTTTATACAATCTTTTGATCTATTTGATAACATGAGATGTAAATAATACTATTTTGTATTGCTAATACCAATAGGACATAAATAATTTTTTTACCTTTACAAATATTTTTCAATGAATTTCCCGAAAAAATTTTATAATATTTAATAGTATTATAAAATTTCATGACATAAAAATTTAATCAAGTCATAGATCGACTAAAATAAAATAGACAACCAGTCTAACAAAATTAACTTAATTACATCAGCTGGATACTGAATTAACAAAATAATCCTCAAGCGGACCAAATAAAAATCTGCTCCGGAACACTTCAAAGGCAACACTTTGCCGATAAGAAAAAATTCCACGGTCAATTGGTTTCTATTTAGAGGCAGCGTTAAATCTGGAATGATCGGAAGATCACTCAGTTCCTCTTAGTAGCCAGCTCTGGCACCACCACAAAATACATCTTAATTCAACAAATTTATTAATTATTAATTAATATTCAATACCAATGGTAGTGACAGTGCAGTGTTGGTTGGTAACAATCACCGGGCTCCTGGTATTGTTCCTCTGGAAATCCTGGCCCGTTTTCGACCAGTCCAGTTTCAGTGCAAAAGTCACGAAAGCCTCCATCCAAGTAGACATTTCAGTGGCACAAATTCCTCCCTTGAGTTCGGGATTCAACGTGTCATCGCGCTTTCACAGTAAAAAATTCCGCGGGCCTGTTTCTAAATATATGCTAGAGCTTTACCACCGAAGACCTAGTGCAGATATAGTGCGAGCTCTTCAACCTCTCCATGTATCTGCGCCGGTGGACAATTTTCCCCTTTTTCGGGGAAGAATTCTTGAGTTTCGGCTTCCACCCACTAATCCTGCAGAAAATCTCGAAGCTGCGGAATTATTGGGCACTGCGGGGATGATCCTGAGAGTAATGATGCTGAACAATCACATCGAGGACACGCGGTAAGATATATAATGATATCTAAATAAAATTTCTTAGTGTACGTTTTGTACGTACATGTTATTAATGCCGTATGCAACAGAAACATTAAAAAAAAAATCTGAATTTGTCATCAACTTAGCAAGATGGCAAGTTCTGCACTGCAAATTTCGTTATTAGGGTAGCCTGATAAAATTCGCTGATAATTAGATATAATTGTTCATTTTGAAGGTTTCGAGGATCACGAAAAGAAGAAACCTGGAGAGCATTCAACGTTACGGATGCAGTAAAGATGACATCAGGAGGATCACTGAGATTCTTGGTCCGTGGTCGAATTCACGGGAGGAATATCATGGAGAGCTACAGCCCGATTCTGGTACTAAGTTACACGAAGCCGTCCAAAAACAGAAAGCGCCGATCGGTGGAAGAAGAAGAGGATGGTCCAGTGGTGTGGTCTGACAACAGACGTCGGCGGAGGAATCCCTGCAGAAGACGTCCCCTGTACGTAGATTTCGCGTCGATCAACTACGATGAGTGGATCGTCGCTCCACCGGGGTACGACGCTTATCAGTGTGTGGGAAAGTGTCTGTTCCCCTTTGGGGATCATCTCAGTCCAACGAAACATGCGATTGTCCAGGCTCTGGTGTCAGGAGCGGTTCAGGGCGTGGATGGCTCAAAACCTGTTGGACGTGTCTGTTGCGTTCCGACACGATTGGCGCCCACTAGTCTGCTTTATCTAGACGCCAGTGGAACGCTTACTTATCAGTATGGGTATGAGGATATGGTTGTTGTGGAATGCGGGTGCCGATGAACTCATTAACCTATCAAACAAATCCATATGGGAAACTAGCCTGGATTTCCAGATGGCGTTTTTGGATAGATTTCCTGTATAGGAATTCAGGGTAGGATCCTACATAAATTCCTATGTTAATTAGGCGAAATAAATTTATTTAAAAAGTTAAAAATAATTATGAAGTTATTGCTATTGAGGCATTCCATGCATTATGGTAAAATGAGTAAAATTTTAAAATTTTTATAATTCGTTCTAATTTATTATTAAAAATCTATATTTTACTAATTTGTAAAGAAAATTTTTTTTAATCAATAAAAAAATCAATTTTTCTTTCCTAGTAACTTTTCAGCCGTACTAACTTGTTTCCCGGTCAAATGTTGTTCTATTACCCTGATAGCCATCCAATTGTAAAAGTTAACGTTAAGTTGCAGTCCAACTTTTATACAATCTAGGGCCGAAATTTGACTTTAACTTTTATCAAAATGTTTTAGTAAAAGTCTTAATGTGAAGTTTTAGTGAAGTTGGACAAAATGAATGAAAACACTCATTGATATGGCAGTTTATCAGAATTTGTCTCTTTTTTACATCGGTAGGTAATTTATCGGTAAAAAAAACGAAGCACAGTAAAAATTTTTAACTACTGCCGTGACAAAAAAATTAATATTTTATTGTTAAAACCGGGGACTCGAACCCGAATCGCCTGGTTCCTAGCCAAGCTCACTATCAGACGAGCTATCTTCGACTCATACTATCAACGCGTTTTCAGTCACTTATATCTGACACAATATTTTTATAATGTAAAAAATGTAAAATTGTATTTGCAATTATGAATATAAAGTGAGTGAATTGAATTAATTTAATAGTTTTTTGTTTTTAGCTAGGACATTGAAGTTAGTAATCACTTGACTATTTTGTAATTTTTTTTTAACAAATAAATTAATTCCAAAAAATTATTTATAAAAAATTACATTTTTTATTATTATAAATTTCTACATGTCAATTTTTTTTTCTAATTATTTTTTACCATAATTTACCTGTTAAAAAAAATTCCTAAAATTATCAAATGTCAGCTAAATTAATTTTCATTATTTGCTTCAAAAATGTATAAAATAAGTGTTTCAATAATTTATTAATAAAAATAAATATCTGAAATTATGTGATGTTTAATTTTCTTGAATATAAAAATACTCTGAAATCTTTGATAAATTTATTTACAAAGCATTAAAATTTTTTTTTATCATCCTATTATTTTTCATTAATTTTTTATAAGAATTCTTACGAAAAATAAGAAATCACTTAAGTGATTGACAATTAACCTGCAAAAAACTTTTTTAAATCATGGTTTGCTAATCAACTTAAAGGTCCGAATAAAAATAACTTAAAGTAACATTAATTTTTCTATGAAATTTACAGTAATTTTTTTTTTTAAATATCATTCTAACTTAACAATAACTTTTTTATAGATAAAAAGTATGAAAATTAAATTAGCCGACATCTGAAAATTTTTATAATTATTTTTATTAAAAAAATTGTTACTATAAAATAAAAAGAAAAAATTTCACATGTAGGAAATTTGAAAAATTATGAATGCAATTTTTTTAAATTATTTTTTTACTTGCAATTTGATTGTTAAAAAAAATAGAAAAATTTTTAAACGTCGGCTAACATTAGTATCATATTAAAAGTTTGTTAAAACTTGGATTGAAATTGCGGCAGTAGATTAACGTCAAGTTACTATACAACTTCAACACAAATTGTATATAACTTTTACTGTACAAGTTTTGGAGTGAACTTAACGTTAACTTTGTCTAAACTTGCTATACTACAAGTATTTTTATAGTAAGTGTGGCTATCAGGGTAGTTTTAAAAACAAATTGATTTTATATTTGTGTTTTTTAATTAGTTTTTTTTAATTATCCTAAATAATTTATAGTTAAATATATAAACAATAATGTTTCTAAGGTTGAAATAATATAAAAGTCTTTTTAATAAACAACTTGATGTACAAATTTTGTACTTGTCCCACCAGTCACAAATGCCTGTCCGACCAGTCACAATAAAAACAAATTTTTTTAATTGTTTCTACGTAGGTAATCAGTCTAATTCTTCATAATATTGAATGTTTGTAGGATAAATTTTGTATTGAGAGGGAAGTATTTTTTAAAAGTTTAGTAGTCGAACTGAAATTGGACTTTAAGTATACCAAGGTAAGAGAGAAGGATTTGTTCTTAGTCCCACCAGTCACACTCAGTCAAATGATAATTACGAGAAACTTAAAAAGCAATCTAGGTTTTTGACAAAGGGATGTTGTTAATTAGTTATTCTTCTATATTATAAGATAAATTTTACTATAGTATAAGTTTCAGTCACATAATTATATATAATTGACGGAATTCCAGTCAAATGTTCCACCAGTCACTATGGAATGCTCCCTATAAACTCTTATTCCAATTTCTTTCTCAATCCCTATCATGTTACGTGAATGTAAGAGCGCTTTAATACATAATAATTACCGTAACTCCTCTTCTTTCCCGCTTCACAGCATTATTTACTTTTATCTATTTTAAATACACTTTTCATCGAACACTTCGGTGAAGCTAGCTAAGCCAAAACAATTGAAGTTGCTAATTTCGGATATTTAAATCAGGCTGATAAATTTTTATTCCAAATAAAATCATAAAAAACATTGTTTTATACCGCGCAATAACCTACTAGGTTATCATCTGATGCTTCTTGAAGATCTCTTTATCTTCTTAAGTTTAAAGTCCAAGTTCCGCGCTTCATATAAATAGAAGTGCTTCTTCATTACTTTGATTTAAAAATTATCGTTAGCATTTTAACGCTCAGTAAGCTCCAGATAGTTCAGTGCAATTTTAGCGAGTGATAATAGATTAAATAAAACACTGAAAATAATCTTTAATTAGTACAGTGAATATTCTGCAAAAACAGAGTTAAATTTTTCTGTTAAATAAATATATTTCTTCCGTATTCTATATTAAAGCATAGCTTTTGTCGATAAAGTAGCGATTTTTTATCACACTTTCCAACAGCCGATAAAAACCGACTCAAGCCTCTAAAATTCTTAATTCCGAAGTGTACCCTGATAGCCAAACCGGTCGCAACTTTCCGTTGATTTGCTGCAGCAACTTGTCACCAAGTTGGCGGCAAGTCTTGGAAATGAACTCGGTTGTTCACCAAGTTGTCGCCAAGTTGTCGGCAGAAATTGCTTTCGAAACTCTTTCGCACCAAGTTGACGACAAGTTTCTCAAGAAATTTGGCGACATATTGCGGCAGTAGATTGATTTTGTTTTTCTCAGAAACTTGTAGCCAACTTGACGCCAACAGTTTCAAATTCGGAAGTTGACCGCAAGTTGTCGGTAAGTTGGTGGCAACTATCTGACACCAACTTGGTTGGTCTGAAACTGTAGCTATCAGGGTAGGGTGTATAGCTAAGGGTGATATAAACCGGAGGGTCAATCATTGATTTCTGACGTCACAGAACCGCAGACGCAGTAGACACCCCAACAATACAACCAATGCGGTTATCCCTGCAGTCTTTGTAATCAAAATCCAGTGACATGTCGTAGCTTCGGTCTTCCCTTCGTTTTTTAACTCTTTGATAACATTAATAACAATAATAATAAAAAACAGTACTTTTAGGACTAGTGATAATAAGGATTATTTTAACAATCGAACAAGCGACGTACAAGTAAGTCCATTTTGGATTAATATTATGTAATTTGTAGCATATATATGTTAGTTAGATTATTTATAGATTAGCGATAATCCATACGATTATTTTTTATAATAATAATATTCAATGCTATTTGTCGAAAAGTGTTTCAGGCTTCTCTAGACAGTTATTTGCCGTACATAGGTGGAGCAGGTGCCTTAGTACTGACTGGAGTAGCGGCATACTATGCTACAAAACCGATTCCTGAAACACCACTGATGCCTCTTGATGCTCAATCGAGGCTACTTCCGGTGAGCGATAGATCTGGGAATCACTTGTTTATAGAATTTCATGGTAATTCCATAGTGCGTTTTTAAGAACTGTGTATTACCTCCGGCAAACCCCCTTATTACTGCATCGTGTTTCTGTTTTATGCTAATTTGATACCTGATCTTAGGGTTTATGGTTTGTGACTCATGGTGGGTGACTCACTAAATTTTAAACAGATACACTATGAGTAATTTTTTTGAGGAGATATATGCACTTTGAATAATTAAAAAATTTTTTTTTCCACTCAGAATACAAAATATTTTTATCCAAGTTTTTTTATATCCAATGTACGTTTCTTCACATAAAAAAACTGGTATTTTCCATTTGTTTACATGATTGAAAAGTTGTGCTGATTTATAATTTATTGAAAAATTATCTGGCTGTATTACAATTGATATCATAATTTAGATGGATCCTTGGGTACGAAAAAAGTTTCTCCAATGGGATTTACGTAATTAAAAATTCAATTTTTCAATGATTTAATTAATAATTAATTTAATTTTTTTTTATTGAATTATTATGATTAATTAAATTTTCTTAAATTCAATCTATATTATTAAGAGACTAAGAAAAATTTGGTTTCTAGGATAGTCATATGATAAAATCGGTTTTTTTAGTAAAATTTAGTATCATTGCAAAGGTCTTGACTTGAATTTGTGCCTTTTCAAGTTTTTATTACATTCTCACCGATAGTCAATTTATTATGATAAGTATTTAGGCTGCATTTGAAAATGCTCTATCTCTAGATACATAATTGAGAAATGACCTTGTATCTTGTGAAATATTGATATTTTTTCAAATATAAGCTCATCCCGATGTTACACTTATCGAGAGCTTTCATTTGAGTACCCACATTAATTTTTCATATATTTTATATATTTATATATATATGAATATATGAAAAATATATCAAAATGCATGTGGGTACTCAAATGAAAGCTTTTGATGAGTGTAACATTGGGATGAGCTTATATCTTCAAAAACGTCGATATTTAAGAAAATACAGTGCAATTGAACATAATTAAGAAATGACCTTGTATTTTGTGAAATATTGATATTTTTCTAAATATAAGCTCATCCCGATGTTACAGTCATCGAGACCTTTTATTTGAGTACCAACATTAATTTTTCATATATTTTATATATTTATATATATATATGAATATATGAAAAATATATCAAAATGCATGTGGGTACTCAAATGAAAGCTCTTGATGAGTGTAACACTAGGATGAGCTTATATCTTTAAAAACGTCAATATTTAAGAAAGTACAGTGCAATTTATCAAAAGTCATTATTTAATAAAGCAAAATTTTAATTTTTTATATTTCACAAGTCACGGCAGTCACATAGTGACTGCAAAGTTGCTAGTTATAATTAATTGGATTTTTCTTAATTTAATTATTATTGATAAATTAATAATTATCAATTTATTAATTATAATAAAAAAGATCCACAGTATTTTAAAGACATAATTTTAAAAACCGCTATACTTTTTAGTGTAGAAAAAAAAACTTTTTTTTCAATGTAGGATTCATAAAAATATGTCTCAGTCTAATGCGGCGTCAAATATTGATCTGTTTTGTACAATTTGATTTACAAACTCTGAAATTTTCTTACTAACAAACAACTAAAAAAATAACAATAGAAATTTCTGAAAAAAATCAGATCCTTTCCAAAAAAAGTCTTAAAAAAATTTAATGAGAATAAAAAATAAATTTTCCATTTTTTGACTAATTATTAAAGTGCATATGATTAATTAAAAAGAAAAATTGCCCACTAAAGAGTGAATCAAAGATCATCAATCGATGAATTAGACCCCTTGGATCCTTTTCCTTCTTCCGGATCTCCTATCGATGACCAATTAACCATGGATCGGCAACAAACCCAAGAAAGTGTGTTTATCAACGTACTGGCTCGGGTCCAACGTCAGTCTGATCCGCAAGCGACTCAGCCTCTACCTCTACCTCTAGGACTATATTTAAATCTTGCGATATAACTTTTGTCTTTCCTCCTGATCTGACGACGCTCAATCTCGAGCATCGAAACATTACGTTAGAATTTATAATTTTAAATAGTAACTCCGTGGCATCTTCGTCGACGCAGTAAAATTTTTTGACGTCGTGACCAAGCTCGTCACGAGTTACCACAACGCATAACAGCTATCAATCCAACAGTCAAGTTAACACTTCGCATTGATCACTATCACAATTGGATTAAAAAATCATGATTGAAGTCTTAATTTTCACGGAATACCGTCTAGCTCTTCGCCGTCGAAGATGCTTGTGATTTTTTGAGTTTCCAAGCCTCCAAAAGTTTTACTTCAAGTAAAATTAAAACTCTCGTTGACTTAAAGCGTTAATAGTCGAGGTAAAAAGTGAAAATGCCCGTTTGCGGGGGTGTTCTGCCGACAATTCGCGTCCCGATTGACACCAACGATCAATCAGACACGATAAAGGTCTTTTAGATTGTTATTTATTATTGTGATTTATTTTTAATCATACCAATAGTTAGTTGTAACACAAATGCCTTTCACCAAAATTGGTACTGTGTTTTGTTGCAATTGTGTCTTGAGTTTGGTTGTGTGAAATTTTGTTTGGCTTTGCATCATTAGTTTCTGTTGAGCTGTTATGTAACTCAAAAGTTATCCCAAAAGACTCAATCGGCTGTTTATCTATCAAATATTGCTTTTTGTCCAACAGGGAGCTGAATACATTCGCGTGTCTAAGTTCTACAAGGACAGCAAGGAAGGTAAATTCGTCAGCTACATTCACGATGATGTGCGCACACTATATGACTCCTTTCGCAAAGGAGCTAAAGAATCCAGTAAGTTTTTTTTGTTCAAATTTTGCATGGTTTGTGATTTTGAAGTAATTTTAGTTTTTAAACAAAAAATTGTCTTTATGTTTAAAAATTTGGTTTTAGAAAAATATAATTTGAAATTTTGGACGAGATATTTTGGCGTGGTTCAAATTTTGACGCGAAAGAAATTTAGTTGGTTTTTAAGTCAAAAAATTTGGTCTTAAGTTGAAAAAGAAATTAGAAATTATTTTTAACTAATATGTTTTTGGATTTAATAAATTTTGGTCAAATAAAGAAATTTTTGAGTTATTCAAATTTTTTAGTGAAGAAAGAAATTTAATTGGTTCAAAAGTAAAATTTTGAATCAAAAATATGATTTTTATGTTCAATAATTTGATTTTAAATAAATAAAATTTGAAACTTTGGACTAGAAACTTTGGCGTGGTTCAAATTATGACGCAAAAGAAATTTAGTTGGTTTTTAAGTCAAAAATTTAGTCCTAAGTAGAAAAATAAATTTTAAATAAAATGTTTTTGGATTAAGTAAATTTTGATCAAATAAAAAAACTTTTTGAGTCATTAGAATTTTTGCGGGAAAAAGATATTTAATTGGTTCAAAAGTAAAATTTTGAACCAAAAAATAATTTTTATGTTTAATAATTTGGTCTTGAATAAAAAAGATTTGAAACTTTAGCGTGATTCAAATTCTTACGCGAAAGAAATTTAGTTGGTTTTAATGTCAAAAATTCTATCTTAAATAGAAAAAAATTCAAATTTTGAATTTTTAACTAAAATAATTTTTTTTTTATTAAACAAATTTTTTTCAAATACAGAAATTTTTTGAGTTTTTCCAATTTTTGGGGGAAGAAAGAAATTTAATTGGTTCAAAAGTAAAATTTTGAACCAAAAAAAAAGATTTTTATGTTAAAAAATTTATTTTTAAAAATGATTTTCTAAATTGAACAAATTTTAATAAATTTTTTACGTGATTCAAAATCATCAATGAAAATGATTTTTTTATGGTTCAAAATTCTTTTTTGTCAAATTAGTTTTTTTAATTAAACTCGGCACATTTGAAAAAAGATTTGTAATAAATTACAAGAATTTTGTAATAGAACGATTGATTTGATCAAAAATCAATGTCCAAAAATATCAAAAAAAAGTTTGCGGGTCAAAATTTTGTTAATTTTAACATTACAAAAATTTTATATAAAATTGCGATTAAAATCTAGACAAAATTTATTGACAATATTTTAAATTTACAGAGAATTTATTTAGTTTTTCTAAAAAAAAAAAATTAAATTTACAGTTGTGAATAGTAATATAATAATTTCAGTAATTAAGTCAATATTTATCGGTCTGTTTTTAAAATTTCAAACTGTTACGCATAAAAATACTGCAACAAATCGTTAAATTCTATAACAGATCATTAAAATATCAATTAAAAATCGTAGAAAGTAATAGGTGAAGGTCTGAATAAATATCATTATTTATTTTTCTTTACGTGTCCTAAAAATAGACACTCGAAAATTAGTGAGCATTTTTTTTTTTAATGAATCATTTTTCTTCTTCAAGAAATAAAGAACTAGAAATTTTTATTTGTTTATTTATGTACTTACTAAATTAAAGTAAAAAAAAAAATAACTGATTATTTGAAGATGTCATTAATCTTATACAATAAAAATAAACAAAATCAAGCCGAATAATTAGTTTAATAAAAATAAAAATTTTTTTTATTGAAATATAAATACAAATATTTTTATTTATCTGTCAGCTATTTTCAGTGTTATGATGATTTATTAACTTTTTTTTTATTTTTTAACACCTTGTAACCTTGTCGTCAACATTTGAAGTTTAATACATTGAAAGTTTATTGAAAAACAAAGTCATTGATCAAAAGCCAAATATAATTTTTAGCAATTATAATATTTGATTTCGATTTATTCAATTTTTTTTTTTTTTACAAAAAATTTACTTTTTGCAAAATCAATTCTTTTAAATTTATTTAATTAATAAAAAAAATTATTATTTTATATTAATAAATTATTTTTTAACAATATTAATTAAAAATTCTTTAAAAAAATTTCACATGTTTATTTTTTAAAAATGTTATTTATTTTTATATTAATTTTTTTCACAATTTTTTGGTACTTTTAGACACTTTGTAAAAATAAAATTCATAAAGAAAAAAAGCAACTAATTATTAACTCACAAAATTTACACAAAGAACGAAAAGATAAGAGGTAAATTTTGTAGCGGATGGCACGATACAAAAATTAATGATGCTTTAACAAAAGTTGGCATCCCAGCTAAAATTTAGTGGCCCTGAAGTGCCTTCCGCATCTGCGTGATTTCTAAATAACTAAGTCATTATATTTTGAATAAAAAATAAACTCGGAAATATTTATTGCCGTGTTTATTAAGAAACACATTAAGCGTTCCAAAATAAAATAAAAAGTTGTGGTACAAAACACATCAGACGAAGACCTACTCGGTTCTAGCATGGAAGAATTATTTTAAAAGTTTAAAAATTTTCACTCTAATAAATTTATAGAGTGAATAAAGATTTTAATCCGAAAAACATCCGAGTATGGAGAAAAAATGCTACTTAAAAAAAATTAAAATTTAATTGTATAATTATTAAAAATATGACTGCATCGCTCGCTAACATAGTTGCAAAATAACGTTAATTTATGTCGATAATTACTCAAATTTTCTTTTTACTATAATTTTTCTATAATTTATTTTTGCAAATAATCATATAAGACCGACTAAAACAAATAGATTTTCAAATACATCTACCTAAAAAATGGGATTTGGAACAGATGAGAGTCATTTGATGATAAAAGCTAAAAATTAATTTATTTTTGATTTTTTTTTTAATTTTTCAAACTCCGAAATAAATTGAAAAAAGTATCAAACGGTAACGAATAATAGCTCAAATTGAAGATAATTATGTGAATTTTAGCATAAATTTGATAAATTCAAGCTATCTTTTACGGCTTAAAAATTATTGAAAAATTAAAAAAAAATTTTAAATTCATGAAATTAATTAAAAAAATCATCAAAACTAGACAAATAATAGTTTTAATTGAAGATAATTGAATGAAGTTTAAGATAAATTTAATAGATTTTATCTATCTTTTACATCTGTAAGATTATTTTCATAAAATGTACAAAATTCAAATTTTTTTGAAAATGAAAAAAATTTTCAAACACCCACAACTCGTAAACTAACCGGCCGATTTAGCTCATCTTCGAACTTGATCTTGGTATTCATCCACAGAATAAACCTACAAAATTTCATAAAGATCGGTCGAGAACTGTGGGCGCAATCCTGCTGACATGGCGCGTTATATTACAAATACATACATAAGCTTTTGAGCCAATACCATTTTTTGTCATTATTCGATTAAATGAAACATTATGACAAAATTTTCATAAAATTACAACATGAGACCGTCTTGGATAGTTAGATTTCTAAAGAAATCTACCTAATAATTACTTTGTAAAGATTATTAATCCTGGTTATGGCTACGTCTGCTCAGTTTGGTTGTTTGTAAATAAATAAATAAATAAATATGACTCAATTTTTTTGCACTTAGATAATGGACAGTGCCTTGGATGGAGGGACGGACCAAACAAGCCTTACCAGTGGTTAAACTACAACGAGACACTACTGCGGGCAAAAAATCTTGGCTCCGGACTCCTGGCCTACGGGTTGACTCCTGGACCACAAACCCTCGTCGGGCTCTACAGCCAGAACAGTCCAGAATGGATCCTCACCGAGCAGGCCTGTTACACGTACTCCCTGGTGGTGGTTCCCCTGTACGACACACTTGGACCTGACGCCTGTGCCTATATCATCAACCAAGCGGAAATTAGTCTAGTCATTTGCGAGGATGATCAGAAGTGCAATCTGCTGCTCGACAAAGCTCCCAGGTCAGCAGAAAAAATTACAAAATTACAAAGTTATTTCTTATATTAGTGACTTATTGAGATGAATTGCAACTAAAATTTATTTCTAGATGCCTGAGGAAACTTGTGGTAGTAAAAGAAACACGTCCAGCGACGATTCAGCGGGCAAAGAACCGCGGAGTTGAGCTACTGCGCTTTGAAGATGTTGAGCGAATGGGAGCGCAGAAAAACTACCCGGAAATTCCGCCGAAGCCTACCGATTTATGCACAATTTGCTACACATCTGGTACCACAGGACACCCGAAAGGTGTCATGTTGAGTCATCAAAATGTGATGGCGGGTGTCTGTGCAGTTTTGCTCCAACTTGGTGATCACAGGCCTACTTCGAAGGATGTAATGATCAGTTTTCTGCCCCTGGCGCACATGCTGGAGAGGTGTTGTGAAAACGGGATGTACATTGTTGGTGGATCTGTTGGATTTTACAGCGGGGACATCAAGCAGCTCCCAGAAGACATGAAAGCTCTAAGACCTACTGTTATGCCTGCAGTTCCTAGGCTGCTCAATCGGCTTTACGACAAGGTGTACATTGTTTTATTTAATTAATAATTGTGATTATCATTAGTGTTGCCAAAAACAACACACATGACCTTTTAGATCTGTCATTTATAATTAGAATTCGCGGACACAGAGCAAATGGTTTTCGTCAATGAAATCTGGAAAGTTGATTAATTTTCGAAGCGAAAAATTTTAGTTTAATTTTTTAGTAACAAATTTTTAGTTTGTTTCTAGAAAGTTTGAATTTTTTAGAGATTTAAAAGTGCTTCAATTTTTTTTTAATAATTTTTATAAGTTGTAGAATTTCGGAAGACATTTTTAAACTATTAAAAAATTCATTAAAAATTTCCAGGACATTAGAAAAAAAATTATAAATTGTCGAAATTTTTGAGAGTTGAAAAAGTCAAGAAAATTTTTTTAAAACAATAAATTAATAGTCAATTATTAAATACTAAAAAATTTGGAACTATTTAATTCTAAAAATTTCAAAAAAAAATTCTAGAGGGTTTCCGGCTTAATTTTTAATCAGCCAAAATTTCCTAAAATAATCCATAAAATTTTGAACTTATCTAGATTCTAGACGATTCAAAAAAAAATTCTATAAAGTATTCTTGGTTCAAAATATAATTATATAGATTAATTAAATTAAGAAAAAAATCAAAAATTTGAAAAAAAGGCCAAAACTTCAAATAATTCAAAATTTTTAGATTCTAGACAATTCAAAAAATTTTCTTGACCTTTTAATCCCAATTTTTAATGATAATCTAAAGCTTGACATTTAAAAAAGATGAAAAAAAATTTTTCCAACATCAAAAACTTTATAAAACATTGAAAGATGATTTTGAACGACCAAAATTATCTCTAGTTTAAAAACACGCTGAAAATTTTGGTGAATATTTACAAGTATGGGTCAACCATTTTAATTTTCATTTTTTTGAACAAAATTTCTATTTGATTTTATTGGTATATTTTTTTTTAAATATATAAAAAAATGAACAATTAAAAAAAAAAAAAGTTGACACAATTTTAACAAATTTTCAAAAAAATATAAATTTTTTAGAAAATTGTGATATTCAACTTTCTTTTTTTCAAATAGTTCGTTTTTTTATGTACTTTTCAAAAAAAAATATTTCAAAAAAAGATAAAATAAAAATTTTATCCAAAAACATGAGAGCCAAAATTTTTTCCAACTTTTGAAAGCAAAAAAGCTATCAAAATCTTTATTTTTTTCTTCCACGACATTTTTAATCATAAATGCACGGTATTAACATGCAGAATAAAAAAAAATTGAAAATGTTAATTTTTAATCTAGTTATGGCCCAAAATGGGGTTGACCCGACTTTCAAGCAATTAAATTAGAAATTTTTCCAGGCAACTAACAAGAACTTTAATCATTTTATTGAACAGGTCCAAGCAGAACTCCAATCATCATTTTTCAAAAAGATGATTTTCAACATGGGCATAAGCTCAAAAGAAGCCGAAATAAAGAAGTGTATAATCCGAAGCAACAGTTTTTGGGACAAATTAGTGTTTAAGAAAATCCAAGAGTCGATGGGCGGTAGATTAAGATTAATAGTCGTCGGGTCAGCGCCTCTGGCGGGTAACGTCCTAACTTTTGCACGCTGTGCTCTGGGTTGTCTCATTGTCGAAGGTTATGGACAAACTGAATGTTGCGCTCCGATCACTCTTACTATTCAGGTAACACCTAAAATTATTTATCAATTAAGTAGATTAAGTATGATAGGTGACAGAGACCACAGGTTAGAACAAACTAAGACGTTAAAGATTCAAGATGGCCGAAGGAGCTTTTGCGCAACTTGATCACCTCGAAATTTAGTGGCCTCGTAACTTGTCAGTCGCGCGGTCTAGAGACCACCAATTCATACTTGAGCAATTCAGTGAATGAACTTACCTCAAGCTATAAACGGATTCAATAAAGCTGTTGCTTGTTTCGAATTAGAGGCTATTTTTAGTCCGCTGAGAAAGTGAGGTTAGCAGCGGCGTAATCTCTGTTATTTAATTCGGGAAGAAATCACGCGAGGGATAATTAATAGATTTATTAATTACTTTTTATTTAATTTTGAAAACAAATATAGAAAAAATATGTTTAAAATAAAATGATAATGAATTTAATAAAATTTAGTAATTATAATCTCATTAAGATTTTGAAACTGCAAAAAAAATAATTTGGTTCAAGTAAAAATTTTTCGTCTTGTTTCAATATATTTACATCTCTTAATTAAAGAAAACATTAAATTTTAATATATAAATTATAACTCTTGAAAAAAAATAAAAAAAATCTCTTTTTTAGAATTTAATCTTTCGACCGAGTACTTTATTATTTTCTAACGGGGTACATGTTTATTTAACTCAAGTATTTTTATTTTTTGGTTTGAGAAAATTGATTCAAAATAATACCGACTTCTTGTAAGAATACTACATTTTTTCAATCAGGATACTATTTTACTTACTTCAAAAATTTATCTATACATTTTTTAATTATTAACCAGTGAACTTCTACAACACTCATATAAAATCCAGATTATAAAATTAAATACATTTTTTCATTTATAAAAATTTTTGTTTTCAAATATTAGAGATTACATGAAGCTACAATCATACACTGCAGATTATTTTTCTTATATAAAAATAATTTTTCTGTGATGATGTCAGGATCATTTTATTTAATAAACAATTTTCCAATTATAAAAAACTAGTTATTGTTTAATATCTTGAATATTTTATGACTAAATTATCAACGACAGACACTTTTAGGTTGTCTAGTAAATAAAAATCTTCAATTACATTCGTTCGTTGGATAAATCTCTACACCCAGTAGTTATTAATTATATTGGATTTTGTTCTAATAAAAATTGTATTTATTTATGCGTTACAATAATAATTACACGCAAAAACGGTCTTCTGATGTAAAGAATGAAAAGTTAAAACTAACTGAAAAAAAAATGACAAGTGTCATCAGCAATAATAAAATTCTTAAACCAATAAAATCGGCTTTCTTCCTACGAGTTTTTTCAGTTCAAAAATATTTTTCTTTAATGAAGTAAATTTTTTTTTCCACACAAAAAATCAAGATAATACTTATGATGAACTCAATCGTTTTGATTTGAGTAGAAAAATTCTTAAACTGAGAAATTTTTTTTGGCTAAAGTAAATTTTACTTGATTCTCAAAAATTTTTCGCCAATTAAACTCTTCAAAATTATTTTTTTGGTTCATAAATTTTTTTCTTGATGTAGGTATGAGCCAGTATTTATTCAAAATTTATTTTAAAATCTTAAAATACCCTCTTTAAATTAATGAATAATTCAAAAAAAAATTTTTTAAGTTAAAAATATTTTTTTTTTCAATTAAGATAAATTTATTTTTTTTTAAATAGAATTAAAAATTCACTCCGATTTTTTTACACTGTAATTTTAAAATTATTTTAAATCTTTGCAAGGTCGAAATACAACTTCAATTGAGTTTCAAGAGCTATGGTCGATAATTTAAAGGATAAACAAATAAAAGCTTAAAGCCGTGTAATAATTTGTTTATTTTGGCGGAGCATTTCAAGATAATGGAAATATGAGAGGCCGTAAAAATAATAGCAATTTATACTTAACTGCAAATACATTTTATTGACTATCAGTCTGTTTATAAAATAAGCAACCCGGAATAGTTTAAGTCCGGCACTTAATAACGTTTTGATATTAAACTATTCACAGATCGTAATCTATTTAAATCCATGATATAGATATATAACTATAGACTAGAGAAGCGTGATAGTCAAAAATAGCCAAAGCGTAAATAAAAATAAATTTGTATCACGCGAATGTTTGTTCGTCGGGTTTTGTCAGGTGATTTGTTGGAATTTGTAATGTTTATTTTTTTCTTTCGAAAGATTGATTGCTTATATTTATCACGGATATTATTTTTCGCTATTTATTGCAGGGTGACTACATACCAGAGCACGTGGGACCTCCCGTCGCTTGCTGCTGTGTTAAGCTAGTGGATGTACCTGAAATGGAGTATTGGGCGGCTAATAACCAGGGGGAGGTCTGTGTTAAAGGCACTAATGTTTTTTATGGCTACTATAAGAATCCTGAAAAAACCGCGGAGGTTATTGATCAGCAGGGCTGGCATCATACTGGTGATATTGGAATGTGGCTTCCGGTAAAAATTTTTATTTTTATTTATTTAAAATTTTTTTTACGTCATTTATTTTTTTTTAATTAAAAAAAAATTTTTTTTAATCAAAGAAAAAATTTTTTTTTAGTTTCTAGAAGATTTTTAAATTTTATACAATTTTTATTTTTAGAAAAAAAATTTTTTTTTTCATTTTTGTATATGTAAAATTTTATTTTGCAAGTCATTTATTTTTTTAAATAAAAAAAAATTTTTTTTGGATTTCTAGAGAATTTTTAAACTTTATAGAATTTTTATTTTTGGAAAAAAATTTTCGATAAATTTTAATTTTTCTATTTTTATGTATATAAAATTTTATTTTACAAGTTATTTATTTATTGAAAGAAAAAAAATTTTTTTTTTAGTTTCTAGAAAATTTTTAGACTAGAATTTTAATTTTTAGAAAAAAATTTTAAAGATTTATTACTAATTTTTATTTTAAGAAAAAAGTTTTTTTTTACTATTTTTGTATATGTAAAATTTTATTTTGCAAGTCATTTTAATTTTTTTAAAATTAAAAAAAAATTTTTTTTTGGATTTCTAGAGAATTTTTAAACTTTATAGAATTTTTATTTTTGGAAAAAAATTTTCGATAAATTTTAATTTTTCTATTTTTATGTATATAAAATTTTATTTTACAAGTTATTTATTTATTGAAAGAAAAAAAATTTTTTTTTTAGTTTCTAGAAAATTTTTAGACTAGAATTTTAATTTTTAGAAAAAAATTTTAAAGAAATTTTGGAATGTTTAGATTTTTTTTTTTTTAACTGAAGAATCTTTTAAATCGGTTCGGATTTTTTATTAGATTTGGAAGTAGTTCTAGAAGATTAGTGAAAGAAAATTTTTATCTTCTAGAAAATTTGTCAGTAATTTAAAAAGTTCATAAACAAAAATTATATAGTGAAGAAATTTTTGAGAATTTAGGAAATATTGAAGTTCTAGAAAGTTTTGGAAATATTTTTATTTTTTATAAATTATGAATTGTTGAGAAAATTAAAAAAAATCATTAAAAATAGAATTTTATACGTGGTTTGAAAAAATAAGAGTTCTGGAATGTTTGAGAAAAATTTTCATCTTCTAGAAAAATTCAAAGTAATGTAGATGATTAAAAAAGATTCTAGAAATTAATTTTCTAAAATTTTTAAAAATTATAATAATTTGCGGATGATTTACGAGGTTTTTTAGGTTTCTAGAATGCTTTAATTTTATCAGTTAAAAAAATTTAATCATTTTATTATTTTAAAATTATTTATAAATTTTTATTTTTCAATTTTTATGAGACCTCACATAATATTTAAAAAAATTTATTAACTTCTAGAAAATTTCTAAATTGTCTAGAATTTGTAGATAATTAAAAAATTGTCTAGAAATTCTAGAAAAAATTTTATTAATTGTCTAGAACTTCTAGAAAATTAAAAAATTGTTTAGAAATTCTAGAAAAAAATTTTTATTAATTGTCTAGAACTTCTAGAAAATTTTTAGCAATTTTATAATAATTCTTATAAATTAAAATTTATGTAAAAAATTGTGAACGTATAGAATGAAATTATAGAAAATTGATTTCTTCTAGAATCTTATATTCAATATATTAATAAAAAAATTTTTTCTTCCAGAATGGCTGCCTAAAAATAATAGATCGTAAAAAACATATCTTTAAGCTGTCCCAAGGAGAATATATAGTCCCGGAAAAAATAGAAAATATTTATATAAGAAGTCAATATGTGCATCAAGTATTCGTCCACGGTGAATCACTAAAATCATGTGTCGTTGCAATAGTGATACCCGACGTAGACGTCGTAAAATGCTGGGCCCTGGAGAACAAGATACCCGGTACTCTAAGTGTCCTTTGTGCGAATCCGGACGTCAAAAAATTAATTCACGAGGATATGCTCACGTGGGGTCGAGAGGCCGGTTTAAAGTCCTTCGAGCAAGTTAAGGATATTTACCTCCACCCCGACCCCTTTTCGATCCAAAATGGCCTGCTAACACCGACACTAAAAACAAAGCGCCCTCAACTTAAGGCGTATTTTAAACCTCAAATTGAGGATCTCTATCAAAATTTAGACTGATTTCAATAAATTATTAATATTATTAAATAATTAACTTTCTTCTAATCATTAATTGTTATTATTATTATTATTATTATAAATACAAATAATAATATTAAAATTAGTACCGCAGAAGTAAAAAGCTATCGCTGAATAAATCTTGCCTCGAAAAATTATTAATTTTTTTCACCATTTTATTATTAAAAATAAACACTTGTTGCTATTATTATAATAATAATAATGAAACTCAAAAATGTTGATAGTAATAATTAATAAACATAAACAGTTATTACCCTAGAGCTAAGAGGTTTGCTTAGTTGAAACAAAGGCAGAAAAAAATTGTCCATCTTCCAATTTAATTAACTGTTATTCAGATGAATGGTCATATACGGTTCGCATATGATTCAAAATTGTTATACAGTAACATACAACACATGTAGTCATATATGGTTGACATATTATTATATATGACTATATATAGTTCATATAATCATATATAGTCCTAGATGATTATTTAAGGCCTACAGATGATCATTTATGATTTACATATCGTCATATATGGTTCATATCTGATCATATATGGTTCATATGATCGTATATAGTTATGAACCATATTTGGTGATTAAGGATCACATATAGTTCGCCATATATAGTTCGCATATGATCATATATAATTTTCATGTGATCATATATGGTTCACATATTGTGATATATGGCTTATATATGACTATATGAAATTCATGTGATCATATATAGTCACATGATCATCTAAAGACTACACATGTTCACTTATGATTCACAGATCGTCATATATGGTTCATATCTGACCATATATGGTTCATATGTTCATATATAGTCAAATATGATTCACATATGATTATATATGATTACATGTAATCATACATGGCTTTTATGGTCACGATATGATCATGATATGGTTGACATATGGTCACATATGACCATCACCAAATCAAATTAAATGATCTAAAATAATTTTGTGCTTTTCTTTCAACACAGCAAATTTTGAAAGCTCCAGTGATCACACACTAGTAATAAATAAAATAATCAATAAAAAATAAACATTAGTAACTAAAAAAGCAATAAAACTATTAGACTTATAAAATAAAATGCTACCAAAAAAAATATTTATTATTTTACTATTACTATTATAAAATAAAATAAATAAATTTTGAAATAAATGTTATGTATTAATTTGATATTCATTATTTATTTACAAACAATTCATTTATAATTTCCACAATAAATGCTATATTTGTTCCGAAAAAAATAATTTTCAGTCTATAATTGCAAATTATAAGTTTTAACAACGACAATAAATATATTTATACATATACATATTATTAATAGTTCATGTAGATTTATATTTATTTAACTCGGCACTTTCAGAGGCGCTTTGGTATTATCTTTTTTTTTTTGTCCTATCGATCGCGACCTAGTTTACCCGGACCTACTTTTTGATCTTTTAAATGACATCATTAAAAATCGGGTAAGATGAACCTCTGCAATAGTTAATTAATGAACTTGTTAATTTAAAAATAAAAAATTTTCTAATTTAAGAATAAAATGCTCAAAAAATTTTAATAAAAAAAATTTTAATTTTTGGCTGTGATATCACAAAATTTTTCAATTAAAAAATAATAAATTTTTTTAAGTGCGCTATAAAAAAAACTAAGGTTCATCTTACCAGTTATTAATTAATTATTAATAATTAATAATAAATTAAAAAATTTGAAACTAAAGTCAAAGAATTAAACTTGTGATTTAAAAATAAAAAATTGTAATTAAAATAATTAAATACTTAAAATAAAGATGTAACAAATAAATATAATACTTACTAACAAATAAATAAATTAACTTCTTGAAGTGAAACTAAAATAAATAACAAAGCATGCGACAATAATTAATACTAAAAATACGGCAGCGAGAATGAATCTTTGTTGCAACGCACGAAATATCATTCCTGATAAGATTCTTGATCCTCTTCCTATTTCTGCGTCTGTTTCTCTCAACTAAAAAAAAAAAAAAAATAATTATTTATAAATTCTTTTTTTATTTTTTATTAATTTAAAAAATTAAAAACTTGCCCGAGATCGGCCTCTTTGAATAGTTTCTCTTTGTTCGCTCAAATCCTTGAGAACCTGCGCGCCAATGTCTTCAGTTTCAAGAATCATACGGTAGCCATTTTGCAGAGTTCTTCCAGTGCGATCGATGCGCTCTGAAGTGTCGAGAAGCCGGGATTTTTGGTCTTCGGTGACGACTTCATTGTCCCATTCGTCCAGGACGTTCAAGTCCACGATTTCCTCTTTGGGCTTTCGGGATAGTTGAAATTCTTGGGTTAGTCGTTTAAGTTCCGCGCGGTGACTTTCTACGCGGCTGCGCAGACGGTCTCGTTGAGTTCCGCCTGTTCCGCGGACTTCCAGTTCCATTTGTTCCAACTGGTAAATTAATTGAATCAAGTTGGTAATTTAAAGTCATTTTTAAAAGTTTTTTATTAATTTAATTCTCAAATTTCAATAGTTATAGTTTTAAGGAGGTCCTTTCACCGCCAATGTAAAATAAAAAATATTAGATTATGAGTAAATTCAATTTTTTTCTAATAGTTAAGGTCCTTAATTATCTAATAGTGAGGTTTAAATTATACTTTACCGGACAAATTTTTGAAAAAATAAAATTTTTAAATGTTAGTATTTGTTCAGAGTCTTACGAGAAAGTCAGACGTTTGCAGTATTTCTCGAATTATACTATCAGTCATGGATTAGATGAAGTAAAAAAAAACTAAAAATTAGATTTTCAAAATATTCAGGTTTCTTTTTTTGCAATAAAATATATCAGTTACCGAGATATTTATTGAGAAATTAATATTTAAAAATCACAAAAAATTCTCAAGTAACCTACGTTAAAATGGAGTCAAAACATTTGGCAACGTTGCGTAGCGCGCGAGCTTCAGACCATTCAATAAATTCAAACTGATTTATTTATTTACACTGACTGCAAAAACTTAAACGTGGTTAAGGTTATATTGTGCAAATGAAAATGTAAACAACCGAAGTACAGCGTTGCCAAATCACGGACAGGTTACTAGCAGTTGATTTGAAAGAGACAAATTAATTTTTGTATTTAACTATTTTTTTTTTTATTTTCAAAATTTCAACGATTAATGCCTCATATACTATTTATTATTTAATTTTAGGAATTTTTATGGGTTTCTTTTTTTAATTTATCGTATATTGACTACTACAATTGTTTTGACTCAACTGGGAGCGAAAGGATTTCCTTAAGCATAGGCAGAAAAATTTTGCAAATTTGTTAAACAAATTAATACACTGAAAGACAATTTTATTTAATAATAATAAAAAAGTTTATTTTGACTTGAAAAAAAAAAAAAACTAGTTTTTAAATTTAGTATGAAATCTTTGGCCCACTCGAGTGGTACAGAAGATTTCATACTAACTTTACCATCTCTCTATATACCTCTACGTGTAAAAGATACAATTTCGAAAATTAATTGCTCAAAAACAGTGCCGTCAATTGATCTGAAATTTTGATAGTGAATTATTAATATATTTATCTTTCGATAAAAAAAATTTCATAACTTTCTGTTGAAATGCCTATCACGCAACAACTACCTTAACATTAAATAAAATTGTCTGTCAGTGTAGAAAAAATCTACGACTTTTTAAAACTTTTTGACAAATTTAGGAAATTTAAACAAAGAGAATTTTTTTTATAAAATTACATAATTTTATATAACTTTTTTTAATACGAAAAAAATTGAAAGTAAATTAATGAAAAATTATATATGATACTGAAATTATTAGTGAACATTTGACAATTCTTAGAATTTTTATAACTACACATGTGTTAAAAATTTTTATGTTAAATAATTAACCCTTTTTTGTTGATTTAACAGAATAAATGTTAAATTTATACATAAAAGTGTTCAATATTTAACATAAAAATTTTTAACACTAAATTTTTTAACGCAATGTCGCAAAATTTTTTACTGTGCAATCAATTATTAAAAAAAAAAAGTTTTGAAATTTTACAACTCTAATTTCCTAAAATTTCTTAATGTGGAATTTTATAATTAAATTTTTTTTTTTATAATTTAATCTTAAAATCTTAATCACGTTCAGAAAATGTAAGTAACTTAAAATTTGGCCACAGAAATTCAGGACAATAATTTCAAACTATACTCAGTATTACAGCTGATTTCGTTAGAAATATACTTAATTATTCAGTGGTAATTGGTAGAAAATTTAAATTGTTAATTGTTGTAAAAAATTTTTACAAGATGCATACTAATACTTTATATGTTTTAACAATTGTGTATATTTTTAACTATGAACTAGTATGATTAAGTTGCTAAGGAAGTTTTAATAAAATGTCGAAACGTTCAACTATAGAATCAATACATAGTTTGAAATTATTGTCCACATTCCTGAGAGACAAAATTTTACTATAATTTAATTTTTATAAGAGTCTAAAAAATTTTTAAATGTCTATATTAAATTCAGTATTATAAATTATATTTATACAGAAAAAAAATATTGAAGAAAAAAAAACGTCAGATTGTTTATTTTAATAAATAAAAAAATTTTCAGTTACTTTTAAAATACTATAAATAAATTTTTTAATTAATTATTTATCAAAACATTGACTGAAAAAATTTTTTAATTACTAAGAAAATTTTAATAAAACTAAAAAAATCCGAAAATAATTTAGATAAAATAAATAAATTAATACAATTTAAATAATTTTTTAAAAATTATATTATGACCAAAAAAATTTAAATAAAAGACCGAAATTTATTGGCCAAAATTGTAAATTTAAAAAAATATTAATAAAACAAATTCAAAAATTCCCGGCAAAAAAAACAGCCGATAAACTAGAGCTCACCAATTCCTGTGCCTCTTCCAATTGTCGATCGACATCCTGAACAAAGGCCCTTTTTTCACCTGAAAAAAAACACTTTAATAACAAAAAAAAAACCCTCTTCAACCCTTAAAATTCCCAAACTCCACCCTTTCAAATAAAAAAACCCCAAAAATCTCCATCAGCACTCCTTAAACCCTAAAAATAACCAAAAAAAACTTACCTCCACTAACGACATTAATTCTGCCAATTTTAGCCGTAATATCAGCAGTAAGAACCGCGTACTGCTGTTCATAATTATCAATAAGCGTTGCCATATCCTCAAATTTCACAGCGCACTAATTTCTTAAACATACAACCAAATTAACGCCTGACATCAGTACTGTCAACCGTCCTTGCCCTTGTAGTAAACATAAATATCAATATCAAGATAAATTACTTGGATAAAAATACTAGCGCACTTTATGACAGATAATTACAATTTTCAAACGTCAATAAACTCGGGACTGTTTTACCCTACCGAGGCGCTGCGCTCGCAAGAACACGTGGAGATGACACAACTGAGAAAAGCCAGACGTGTTTTTTCGATAAAATCTACCGAGTTTTATAAAATAATAGACTTTTTGCCGCAAAACAAGAAAGAAATCCCAATTTTTTAGGGATTAATTCGCTTTAAAGGGTTGTAGCAATTTTCCCGACAAGATGGCGCTCTTGCGCGAAATGAAGACACGTCAGAATCAAGGGACCAATGGGAGCGCAGGAAATATTAAAGAGACCAATAGGAAGGGAACATGTTACGCAGGCGGTGATTTTTCGTAAACCTTGCACTTATACACTTGTATTTTGAAAGTTTTGGGTGAGTGTACCTGCGGTTAAACACATACATGTTTACTTATGTGTGTAATATATTATATTGTAATATTTAAGGGACTCTGGGTATAGAAACACAAATATATATATAGGTATAGGTATTTAATACACATCAAAAATGAAGATGGCTGCGGAGGTGAGGTGGCCAGTGTTGTTTTATTTATTAATTATTGTTAACTATTTAAATGCTAGTGATGTGCATAAAAAATTCGAGTATAAGTACTCCTTCAAGCCGCCTTACTTAGCGCAAAAAGACGGAAGTGTACCGTTCTGGAATTACGGAGGCAGTAAGTAGTTTTTACAAATTTTATACATTACCAAAATTATTTTACTGAAAATTATTCCACGTAGACTTTGAGATTTTCTTTCAAGATTTTTGAGAAAAAATTCACGTTTTTTTGTAAAGATTCCAGGGGTTGTTTTTTCCAATTTTGGAGCCGCTGTTTTAAGTAATAATTTTGGGTTTATTGGTACCGTATGTTGCGGTTTGTTTTCTTGGGAGTTGTTTTTTTTTTTTTTTTTTTATTAAAAAAAAAACTTATTTTGGGGTGAAATTTTAGCAAGTTTGGAAATTTGTACTTTGCATTGTTTGGTTTGATTTTTAGAAAATTCTAATTTATTTTTTTTACAGATGTAATTGCCAGCTCGGAAAAAGTCAGGTTAGCGCCGTCACTTAGGAGTCAGAAAGGTATCATCAAAATATATATTTTGTTTTATTAATTAAGGAGCGGTAGTTTTAAAATTGGGTCAAATTTTGATGATACTAAAGTTAGCCGACGTTTTTGACTTAATTTTATTAATAAATTAGAACTAATAAATATTTTTAAAAAATTGAACTTGTAGTTTCTCAAGTTTTTTACAATAATTTTTCAATAAAAAAATTCTAGATGTCGGCTAACTTAATTTTCATTAAATTTGATGATTCTAAAGTTAGCCGACGTTTCTATAATTATTTGATTTTTTTTTTTTAATAGTTAAATTAAAACAAAAAAATTTCACTTACAGTTTTTGAAGGTTTTTACAAGTGACATTTTTTAAAAATTTTTTTGTAATAATTTTTTCAATAAAAAAAAATTCTAAAAATTTTTAAATGTCGGCTAACTTAATTTTTATTAAATTTTGACAAAGAAAAATTGTTTGTCTGATTTATAAACTCCATTATTTTTTTACACTGAAATTAGCAGACACTTGATAATTTTTAGATTTTTTTTTTAAATAAAATAAGTATAAAAAATTTTTTTTATTTTTATAATTAATCAATTGTTGTAATAAAAATATTTTTAAAAATTCGCACTTGTAATTTTTTTAAAATTTCTATTTTTTAACTAAATTATTTTCATTATAATTTAATTGCTGAAATTTTAAATATTTTTGTCTGTTAAATTCAGTATTAAATTTTTCTTTCCATAATTTATCTATTTAAAAAATTATTAAATATCTCTCAATTTTAGTATTATTATTTTTTATCAAAAAAATAATTAATTTTGACAGAAACTTATGAATAATAAAATTGCAAACAAGTAGTTGAAATTATGTAAGAATTGTAATTGAAAGATTCAATAAATACAAAAAAATTATTGCATAATTTTTAATAAAATTTTAGCTTGTAAATTTGTCAAGAAAAAATAAAATATCTTAATTTAATATACAGTGATAATAAAATAATTAAGTGTGAAAATAAAATATTTAACAGAGCAATTAAATATTATGTAAATTAAATTAATAATTAAAATTTTTTTTAACATGAGTAACTCTTAATTTTAATTGATAATTTTTTATTTACTTTAATCAAAAAAAGAAATAATATTTAACTTGCTTAAAATAATAAAAATTAAATGAGTAAAAAATTATTTTAATTAAAAATAAAAATTCTTTTTAACCAAAAATTTTAATTAAATTCTAATTTATTAAAAAGTTTATTAGTTAATTAACGAATAATTTAAAAAAATAGGAGCAATATGGACCAAGCAGCAGGTAGATTTCGATTGGTGGGAAGTAGATTTGAAATTCAACATCAATGGACGAGGAAGAATCGGAGCTGATGGTCTAGCTTTTTGGTACACCACTCAACCAGGAAGCTTCGATGGTCCTGTTTTTGGTAGTTCCGACATGTGGAATGGTCTTGGTATATTCTTCGACTCCTTTGATAATGACAATAAGCACAACAACCCTTACATTATGGCGATTGTTAACGATGGGACCAAAGTTTTTGATCACGCCAAGTGAGTTTATAAAAAAATTTATTCATATTATCATTGTTAATTTATTTTTAAAAAAATTAACTCGCTAATTTTTTTCTTGAATTTAGTGATGGAACAACACAAATGTCTGCTGGTTGTCTGAGAGATTTTCGTAATAAATTGTTCCCAACTCAAGCTAAAATTGAGTACTATCAAAATACTCTAACGGTATGTATAACTGCTAATTTATTTAATAACAATAATTATTATTATTGACATTAATATATAAAAAAAAATTTATTACTTAATTAGATTATTATTATTTTATTTTTTATTTTTATTCAAAAAGAAAATAATTGAATTTAATACCAAATCATCAACTAGTCATTCTAAAAATAGCTATAACTCCTGAAGTATTAATTTTATCAAAAAATTATAAGAGACTAAAATTTTAGCTTAGAAAATTTCTTACAAAAAATTTTTTTATACTATAGAACTATCTTCAATATTTTAAAAGATATGGTGACTTAAGTAGTGATCATTATTTAGTCACTAAAAAAAGATTATGACTTGGAAAATATTGATTTTAAATATTGATAAAAGAAATATTAATATTTTTATTATTATCTATAAAATTTAGCTGCTGTTTCACAACGGAATGACAAGCAGTCCAGACGAATTCGAGCTGTGTTTCCGGGTAGAAAACATTTTCTTGCCGAAAGGAGCTTACTTCGGAGTATCAGCAGCCACTGGAGGACTTGCTGATGATCACGACGTCATGCATTTCTTGACGACGTCTCTCCATCCACCTGGACAAATCCAGCTTGATCAAACCAGAACTGTGTCCAATGAAGATCAGGCTAAGATCAGCCAAGAATATCAGGATTACCAGAAGAAATTGGATCAACAAAAAGAAGACTATCGCAAGTAAGTTTTGATTTTTTTTATTCTAAAATATGATTAGTGTATAAATTTTTTAAATATTTTTTTATGATATTGAAATTAACAGACATCTCACATTACAATTCTCTAGACTTTTGTAAAAGTTTATCATGAAGAAAAATAATTCTTTATGTAGAAATTTAAAAAAAAATTTTGATAAGAATTTTAAAAAATATTTTTTTTAAATTATTGATTTGTTGAAAAATTTTAAAATATTATTTCAAGTTGAATTTATTAAAGACAGAAAAATTTTAAGAATTTTTTTTTAATCAGTGAGAAAAAAAAAATTTTGAATGTAATTTTCTAAAATATTGTTTCAGCAAAATTTATTTTTTAAATTAAAACCAAAAAATTGTCAAATTTTTGATAGTTTCAGTATCATAATTAATTTAATAAAAAAGTATTAAATTAATTAAATAATATAATTAATTAATTAATCAAAAATTTTTCTTACTTCTATTTTGACCTCAGTGAGTACCAAAACATTTTTTGGTATTTTATTAAAAAGAAATTGATTTTATCGACGCGCTTACATTTATAAGCTGCGATCGTTATAGAGCGGGAAGCGCTAGTAAATTTAAAAAATTTTTTTAAGCATAACTAACATAAAAAAAATTGTGAAAAAAATTTTATAAATTTTTTTAATATCAGAAGTTTTGAATAATTTGCTTTAAATTTCAAATTAGATATTTTTACGAAAAGTTCAATTTTATAAATTAACAGTCTTTGTCTCTGTAACTTCAATAATTTAATTTTTAATTTTCACAAAAAAATTATACAATTCTTAAATTTACAGATATTCAAAATTTCTCATAATTTTTTAAAAAAATTTTCTATAAAGAAAATTAAATAAAAATTCAACTTAAAAATTTTTAAAAATTACTGATACAATTCTTAAGAAAAAATTTTTTTTTCAATACTAATTTACTTTTCAAATAAAATAAAAAAAATTGTTGAATTATTTTAATCAAGACCAAAAAAAAATTTTGTTTTGATTTTTGACTAAAACTCTGACCAAAAATAAGAAATTTATTGAAGAAATTGACAAATATATGTCTGAAAAAAATTCAATTTTAAAGAATCTTCTGTAAAATTTATTGAATTTTAAAAAATTAAATAAAAAATTTTCTTATTCCAGAGAACACCCCGATAAGCGCCGTGAAAAGGAAGAATTCGACGACTGGTTCGAATCCGACAGCCAGCGCGAGCTTCGTCAAATCTTCACCGGGCAGAGCCACATGTTCGAAATCCTCCGCGAGTTGCACAAAAAACTAGACGAGACGATCGGTAAACAAGAGCGCACACTCTCTCTGATTTCCCAACTGCAGGTCGGCGGCGTCCAGACCGGCGGTGGTGGCCAACCTGTCCAATTGATAGACACAATCCGCAGGCAAGAGGTAGACGCGGTGCTCAGCAACCAGAACATAATCCTGAACACCGCTCGTGAGATAAAATCCTTTGTTGGAGAGGTTAATTCTAAAGCGGAGTCAATTTTGACGAACCAGGCCCGCGGACCTACTGCCCAAGTCCAGCCCATCGGCTACGACTACCAATCACTGATCTCGGAAATGCGCGACGGACTTAACCAGGTCAAGCGCGACATTGCTCAGACCTACAACAAATTGACTGCAGCGCCACCTGCGACCTCTTGTCCCACGGGTAATTGTCTCACCACAACCATGTTCATTGTTTTTGTCGTTATTCAATTGTTCATCCTTCTCGGGTACAGCATGTACCGCGATAGCAAAGAAGCGCAAGCTAAAAAATTCTATTAAAATATTTTTAATAGCCAAATTAATTACTTAATAAAAATTAATTAAAATCAATTTTTAATTTTTTTTTTTTTTTCAATTGGTTACTTAAAATTGTTCTTTTTTTTTTTTATTTAAACGTTATTATGTTTTTTGTTACGGTTTCAAATGGCCAAAATGAATTTCAATGGATAATATTTTTGTATTAACATTTCATGAGTCTCAAGTCGGCTGACATTTTTAAAAAATTAATTTAAAGGTTAAAATATAATAATTATTTGGAAAAATGTAAAATTTTTAGTGTCGGGTGACTTGAGATTCATTTAAAATTTTTAGAAGTTATAATTCCATGTCAAGGCGTGTATTTATTAATTTATTGTATAAATTTTGGTAGAAAGTTTGATTTTTTGGGTTAGTTAACATCTATTAGGTCTGTAGATTCCGAAAATAATTTTTTTTTTCGTTTTTATTGACTCATACTTTTGAAGCAATGGCGCAGTGCGAAAGGCGATAAATACCACTGCGAGAGCTCGGGGTTCGAATCTCGGCAGCGGTTTTTTTGTTTTTTTTTTTTTTTTTTTTTTAGGCTGGAATATAAAATTTTATGACCGAAAAAAATTAACATTTTTTATTTTAAACCGAGAAATTAATTAATAACTAAAAAAAGATACTAAATTTAGCTACCAAAAATTTTTACAATAAATAAAATTACAAATCTTCAATATAATAATAATAAAATAAATCTAATCTCTAAACATTTTAAAGTGTAAATAAATAATTAATTTTTAGGAGTTTTAAAATCTTCTGAAAACTCCACTATTCCATACAACATTTATAAATTAAAACCAGATATTTTGAATAAAGAAATATTTAAAAAAATAATTTTGTCAAATAATAACACGCACAGAATTTTAAAAAGGTTAATTTTACACGGGAATTTCAACTCATTCCTTATTTCCAATGTAATGATTAATGATGATTGATAATAATTATTAATATGTAACTTTTTTACTGTCCGCGACTGAGATGTATGTAAATGTTGATTCTGAATAAATATATCATGGGTAAACATTGTATGTAATAGATGTAATGTAAAGTAAGATAATAAAAATGATAAATTTTGTATCGTTTATTAATTTTGAATAATTATTTTTATTTTTGTTTGCGTTTTAGTAATTATCAATTATATTCATTGGTAAAAATGAATAATTAGTAAAATTAACTCCTTATTGCATTTATAAGAGTTTATAAAAAATTGTATATGGATAAGAATAAATGAATATGAGAAACAAATTTTTTTAAATTATTTCTAGATTGAGATAAAATTTTTCAACTTTTTGCACGCCTCATAAGCGAAGCATCAGAGAGTGCTTTACGATCGAAAATTTTTTATATATTTTTATTATTTTAGCTGTTTTAAATATTTTTTATTTTATTAATATTTCATAATTAAATGAGCTTTATGAGTCGTGTACTTTTGGATTTTCCAAACTTTCTTAGTTTTTCTTTCTGTTAATTCAAACATTTCTTTATAAAGTAATAACTCGGAAAATAAAATAAATAATTCGATCAGCTCGATTGACTAACTTTATCAAATTACTCCCGATACGCAATATGAAATACGAGCAGCGTAACATATCACGGTCTTTTAATCAATTTAATCATACATCCGTGCAGTACATAAACACCATACATCTTCTGCTTCTATAGGACATATCCACAGATCGGTTTTGCTAACTCGGACAAATCGCTCCTGTATCTACGGCTCCTAAATCAAAATCTATTTTATCCGTTACACCTCCCCATGGCGTTCTGTCTCACCCCCGACATGTATTCACATGTGATTCCTCTCTGTATTGAATTTATTTGTCAATACACATACACCTCTAATAAAACGTAATCATTATTTTATAAATTGAAAAAAAAGTTTGGAAACAAAATTTTTTTTTATTTATAGTTCACAAGTCACGGCAGTCACATAGTGACTGCAAGGTCACTAGTGTATTTTATTTGAATAATAAGTACCACCTGTAATGCAATGTAATGTAGAGTGTCCTTAATTGATATTTAATTACAGGTACTACCGTTAAACCGGAAGACACGGACGAGCCAGATTTCATTAAGAATTGCGACAATTTTAAATTCAAAAAAATTCTTAGATTGTTGCATCACGTCGACAGGAAGGCTGCTGTTCTTGATCGGTATCCCGGGAGCAAAATTTTAGACGTTAAAATTATTTCCGTTGACAGCGGTTGTCGTGGCAAGGGAATTGCAGCTGCACTTTGTCAAAAGACTGTGTAAGTTTCTTTTTTTGTATTATTACTGCATTACTGTACTTAATTTTAGTATTTTTAATTTATAATTAAAAAAAAAAAAAAATGTTAACAAAAAAAAATTTCCTAACTTTCACTAAGTACTTTTTCCAAGGTACACCCCAAGAAAAAAAAATAAAAACCACACATATCATTACCTCTCAAGGTACAAGAATAAATATATGATATGAAAGTAATAAAATAAAATGATGAAACAATTAATAATTATTAAATTACAGAGATATCGCCAAGGAATTAAATTACAACTATATCCGCACTGATGCAAGTTCTCACTACACCGCAAAACTGTGCAAGCGTCTAGGCTTCGAGCAAATATTCGAACTCATGTACAAGGATTACGTTGACAGTAATGGAAAATCGATCTTTACACCTGCTTACCCTCACAGTTGTATAAGTACCTTCATTAAAAAATTGTGATCCAGCTTATTATTATTTCACCGTCTCAAGTACAATTAAATTATAAAAAACGCCATTCGGCCACACCCGAAATGGAAGGTAGATTTCACTGATTGAAATTCTTGATAGAATGACGTACATAAGTCGGTTGTACTACTCATTGGCTGAAAATGGTTTAGTTGCACTCTTAACTTTGATAAAATAACTAAAAATGGTCAAAATGTTGATGTTATATACGTCAAATTAAAGGTAATTTCATGAGCTATTACAGGAATTTTTCAAAAATTAATTATCTCTGTTCAATCAAAAGTTATACATCAATGAAGTGGCCAAAAACGTGATTTTCACTATTTTGAAAATTTTAAATGGTCGCCATTTCCAAACTAATTGACGAATTTTGCTCATTTTAGGGCTCATGCAAGCTTATTGTCCAAGGAATCTAAATATACTAAATTTCGTTAGGATCTGTTAAAAATTCTCGATAAAATAACATTCATAAGTCAGTTGTACTACTCATTGCCTGAAAATGGTTCAGTTGCACTCTTAACTTTGATAAGATAACTAAAAATGGTCAAAATGTCAATGTTATATCCGTCAAATTAAAGGTAATTTTATGAGCTATCACATAAATTTTTCAAAAATTAGCTATCTCTGTTCAATCAAAAATTATACATCAATGAAGTGGCCGAAAACGTGATTTTCACTTTTTTGAAAATTTTAAATAGCCGCCATTTCTAAACTAATTGATCGATTTTGCTCATCTTCGAACTCGTTCAAGGTAATTACCTAAAGAATACGTGTACCGAGTTTCATCTAAATCCGTTGAGAATTGTAGACGCTATCGTGTCCACAAGCCGCGTTATATTACATATATATGTATATATAAAAACTTTTGAACCAATGCTAATTTTGAGCTTTACTTGACTATATAAGAGATAAAATGACAAAATTCCGTGTGAATTCCGACACAAGGTCCAATGCAATAGATAGATTTCTACGAAATCTACCTAATATATATTGAGATGAACAGTAAAAATAATAAATAATAAATATTGAATATCTAGATAAGATATTCATGCTAAGAACGACACAATTGAAAATTGGGCACGCCCAAAAAGAGCGTTGCGAATTGGATGTATGCAGCAATTTATGTATTGTATTATACTGTATGTATTATTATTTATTATTATTATTATTATTATACTTAGAAGCAGAGCCGAGGATGTGCAGCCATACGAAGATATTAAAGATATGAGATTTGTATTGGCGTTTGAATTTCATCGAGGGTAGAATGGGCTCGTACTCGATACCAATACAAGATAGAAGATAGTAATAGATACGATTGTGCTCAGTGTAATGTAGTGTGTGTCGCCCCTTTGGTTGGCCTTTGCCAAGAATACTCACATCGAATGAATTTTAAATTTAAAGAATATATTTCGCGAATAAATCGTTCTTCTTCGAGGATTGATTAATGGGCGGAGGTTCCGAAGATAAATCGGGAAATGAATTTACGATTTACGGGACTTTTGACACGTGCTTGTTGAGCTTGAATTATTTTACTGGTCAATTTTATTGTGAGAAATTTAAAAAGAAATTTTCTTTATAAATTGTGGTAAAAGTTCTCATAATAAAAATTTTTAGGGAATTAATTGATATTAATTAATTAATTTATAATTCATCCCTTCACTGATAGAAAAATTTCGTTCTATTTAATAAAATTTAGTAATAGTTACTAAATCATTTATTAAAGCTCATTTATTTCCACCAAATAAATATTTAGTAGTATTTAACAAATTATTTATTGCTACGCAATAAATCGTTTATTGGTATTAAGAAATTAATTTTGTAACTAATTTTAGCGTATAACCTAACTTTTTTACTCAAAACAAATCAAAATGATTAAAGGAAATAATTTTACGTAAAAATATAAGGTATTATAAAGAAAAGAATCTCAGTAAATTATCATTTTTTATTTGGGACATTTATAAAATTAAAACCATTCCCATAATATTATAATGATGATGCCTAATAATATTGAGATTTATCATCACAACTCAAGTTATTTGTGACTTTGATGACCACTTTGAAGCATTTGAAATTATTAGTAATTTCGATCATTTTACTTGCTTCCCAATAACATCATTCGATGTATGTAAAATAAGTAATACTGTTCATATAAATAAATAAAAGTTACATACCCAAAAGGTGGATTTAATAAATATTCAACGTATGTATTGTAAATAAGTAATTTGTTTAAAAAATAAAATGAAATTGTAAAAATAAACAATTAACTTCCATATCTACCTTGCTCCTCTAATTGTATAGTGAGAAAATATCCCTTTCATTAGAGAAATTTTAGAATTGCTACAATATTTTTCAATATTATCTAACACAATAATAACTGAGTTGGAATAAACAATTTAAGATTAAGTACACACGTGAATAAAAATTATGAAAAAGTAATTTTTTTCACTCTAGTGAAAGATCAATTTTTATTTACAAAAAAAAAATTTATATGCAAACAAATATATAATAATTACTTGTTCCTATAAATTTCTCTCCGTGTATAACTAAATATTATTTAGTGAAAATAAATATTCATTTTATATACATAAATTTTATAATATTTAAGTTATGCTATATTATTTGTATAATCTGACTGAGAGACCCCGCTATTGGCCTTTTGGCTGTTGAGTTGTTTAATAAATAAATAAATAAATTTTGATATAATAAGGCTTTGTTTATGTTAATATAATTTATTTAGAATGAAAAAAATGATTTATTAAACTGTAACAAATAATATTGATGGGTAAAAAATATTTTTTTCTCCCAAATGAATGACTAAAAATTTTGTTACTAAATCAGTATAGTATTCCGTACCAAATCCTTCTATCAGTGATGAGTTCTGTATAGTGAAAAAAAAAATCTCTTAGCTGACAATAAAAATTTCAATAAAAATATTTGCTCAACTAAGTGCTGCTAATTTACCCATAAAAACTATTATTCTCGCCCCAATATTTCACCCCATCCATTTGCTCTGAAAAAATAATAATATTTACACAAATCTTCCTCCCTATGACTATTTTATAAAATATTTTTTATTTTACAAAAATTTCTAGACAAGCTTATTCACGTCGCAGTCAACAATTTCTAAATAATAACTTGAAGAGTGCTTGCATGGACAATTTTAATAGCTCATGTATGACTGGGTATTGCGTCGCTGCGGATACGCCGTGAATAATATCAGTAATAAAAACATTTTACAACTCTGACAATAAAAATAAAAACTATAAAAAGTTTGCTTTATGGTAACAGTTTGGTTCCCGTCAAGATCAATATCGGATCGGCGCGGACCTAGCTCAGGATTGGATCAGATTCTTCGCCAATGGAATCTCTCGATGGCTTGTTATCAAGGGATGATTCTCGCGGGTGAGCTCTCGCGGATTCTGCGCTCGTCTTCGCGGATTCCATTGGTCGAAAAATGTTCGCCAGGACTCTGAGGGAGGAGAATTCTTTATCTAAAAGGGTGTTGGTCGGCAAAAAGTTGGAAATGTGGAAAAAAAAGTTTTTAAAATGGCTGGAAAATTATTATTGAAATTGGGGTGGTAATAAAAAACTTTGAGATATTTATGATATTGTTACAGACACAATGGTACCAAAAATAGCGCTGAATTATTTTGATACATTTACTAATTTAAAGTGGGTATTTTAGGATTTAAAAATAAATTTCGAATAAATACTGGCTCATACAGTAAAAAAAAAAAATTAACTTAAATCAAGGAAAAAATTTATGAACCAAAAAAATAATTTTGAAGAGTTTAATTGGCGAAAAATTTTTGAATCAAGTAAAATTTACTTTAGCCAAAAAAAAATTTCTCAGTTTAAGAATTTTTCTACTCAAATCAAAACGATTGAGTTCATCATAAGTATTATCTTGATTTTTTGTGTGGAAAAAAAAATTTACTTCATTAAAGAAAAATATTTTTGAACTAAAAAAACTCGTAGGAAGAAAGCCGATTTTATTGGTTTAAGAATTTTATTATTGCTGATGACACTTGTCATTTTTTTTTCAGTTAGTTGTAACTTTTCATTCTTTACATCAGAAGACCGTCTTTGCGTGTAATTATTATTGTAACGCATAAATAAATACAATTTTTATTAGAACGAAATCCAATATAATTAATAATTACTGGGTGTAGAAATTTATCCAACGAACGAATGTAATTGAAGATTTTTATTTACTAGGCAACCTAAAAGTGTCTGTCGTTGATAATTTAGTCATAAAATATTCAAGATATTAAACAATAACTAGTTTATTATAATTGGAAAATTGTTTATTAAATAAAATGATCCTGACATCATCACAGAAAAATTATTTTTATATAAGAAAAATAATCTGCAGTGTATGATATTGTAGCTTCATGTAATCTCTAATATTTGAAAACAAAAATTTTTATAAATGAAAAAATGTATTTAATTTTATAATCTGGATTTTATATGAGTGTTGTAGAAATTCACTGGTTAATAATTAAAGAATGTGTAGATAAATTTTTGAAGTAAGTAAAATAGTATCCTGATTGAATAAATGTAGTATTCTTACAAGAAGTCGGTATTATTTTGAATCAATTTTCTCAAACCAAGAAATAATATGAAAAATATATGAAAAATTGATGTGGGTACTCAAATGAAAGCTCTTGATGAGTGTAACTTCGGGATGAGCTTATATCTTCAAAAACGTCAATTGTTAAAAAAGTACAGTGCAATTTAACAAAAATCATCATTTAATAAAGCAAAATTTTATTTATTTATATTTGACAAGTCACGGCAGTCACATATAGTGACTGCAAGGTAACTAGTATGATATAAATAGTATATTACATACCTAGGCCAGTAAAATAAGAAAAGTCTCAGATCACATGTAATTGTTGGCCGAGGCGAAGCCGAGGTTGACAAACATGTGATCTGAGGCTTTACTTTTTACTGGCCAAGGTGTGTATACTATTTTTCTGCTCGACGTAGCC